TCTCTCTCTCTCTCTCTCTCTCTCAAAATAAATAAGTAAACAAACAAACAAAAGGCACTGAAGGCCATTTTTTGAACTGAACTTGGCATCTCAAAATCAAATTCATTCTTTAAATCCTCTAGGAAGCCTCCCCTGATTCACATTGGTTTCCCTTCCCTACCCTGTATGGCTTATCTGGGCCCTATGTCTCAGTCTTCAGCTGAGAGCAAGCTGTACATGCTTCTTGACATAATCTGTACAGCATCACTTCTGTACATGCTTTCTTGACATAATGAGAGATGAGTGTTGTTTTCTTCTTCTTCAGTGACTGGGTTTTGTAATCCAAGTTGAAAGTTCCCTTCCCTTGGCACTTTGCATAGATCACTCTGTTCTCTTCTCACATCTAGTGCTGCTGGTCACGAGCTACTACCTACCTAATTCTTATTCTCTCGTTCAAAATCTGTCATTTCTCTGATTCTCGCAGGAGCTCGTTATCTTTAAAATGCTTGGATTTCACAAAAGTGCGTCTAGGTGTGACTTTCTTTATTTTTACCTGCTTAGCATTGTGGTGGGCCTTTTTGATCTAGGCCTCGAGATCTTCCTAGAGAGCTCCCCACTTTTACTTTTTTAAATAGTGCCTCCGTTCACCCTCTTTATTCTTTCCTCCTGGAATAGTTATTAAACAGCTTTGTGACCTTCTGCCCTGTTCTCCACGTCTCCTGACTTTTTCTTCACGTTTCCATCTTTGTCCCTTGCTGCTGCCTTCTTGGAGCATTGGGCCTCATCTTTTTTTTTTTTTTTTTTTTTTTTTTTTTTTTAACGTTTATTTACTTTTGAGAGACAGAGAGAGACAGAGTACAAGCGGGGTTGGAGCAGAGAGAGAAGGACACCTAGAATCTGAAGCAGGCTCCAGGCTCTGAGCTGTCAGCACAGAGCCCAATGCAGGGCTCGAACTCATCAACCAGGAGATCATGACCTGAGCCAAAGTCGGTTGCCCAACCGACTGAGCCACCCAGGTGCCCCAGCATTGTGCCTCATCTTCTAGTTCATTCATTTGCTGTTTAACAGTTCAGTCTGTTGCTGGTTTTATTTCCACAATTATTTGCGTTTCTGAGAGTGCAGTAATGATTCTTTTTCCCGGGCGCCTGTTCTTGTTTCAGCAGAGCCTGTTCTTTCGCAAATTCGATGCCCTTCCGTCATGCTCTGAGAATATTAAATATGTTGAATTTAAGGTCCTACTGTTACAGTCCATTATCTCTTTTCTCAGCCGTATATCCTTTGCAGTGCTGTTGGTTTATTTCCGTTCTTCTCATGGTGTTAGTACTTGCCTTGGGCTGTGCAAGAAGAGGCAGCAGTCAGACAGTCCAGAGGGGGCTTGTACACAAAGTGCTGGTCAGCTCCCACCAGTTCCAGCGCTAGGTTGGAGACTTCCAAGCCAGCCACTGAATAGTGTGGGGTCTCTCTGACCCAAGCTCTCACATTCCATTTCCACTTATGAGCAATCACCTTCTTTACTCTGCCTGCCCTAAAAGAATGGCAAGAAGGGCTGTGAGGAATCAACCAACCTGGCTGCTTCTGCTCTGGTATCTCAGTTAATCCCCTGTTGCTTGCTCCTGGGCACCCTGTTCCCAGGCTCCCCCACCTTGAAGTCTGGCGGACCTCAGCCCTGCTCCACCTTTGGTGGCAGGTACCCCTGCAGCAGCCCTGGGCCACAGCCTCCCTCTGCTGCCTCTGTCCATCTGTGAGTCCTCACAATTCCTGGTCTGCTAACTTCTCCCCTTCCTCCTTCTGAGCTTGGCTTTGTATTCATTTATTTCCCTGGCTTTTTCGCATCGAGGGGAAGCTGCTATTCACCCTCCTCTCGAAACCAGAAATCCAACTTGCATAGTATAAAGGTTTGGTTTTCTTTTCCTCGGAGTGCTGAAAAATATGATAAAACCACCTTCTCCTTCAAGACAATAAGTTTCCAGCATTTTGTACACACACACACACACACACACACACACACACACACACACACACACATACACACACACACACCGTTGTTCAAGCATGTCGGCAAACAATATTTGCCGACAGGCACCACCGCTACCTGGCTCAGAATGTTCTGAAATCAGCCAAGCGCAGCTCAGGATGTCGTGGACCATGCGCCAAAGCTGAGGGCTGACTCTGCGTGCAGCCGGGAGCTCATGGATCCCTGGAGTTTCCTGGGGGTGTTGGGGTGCCTCCCACCAGTCTCCACCCCCCACTTCAACTAGAACCAGTCCCCTTTTTTATTTCTGGCCTTTATCCTGTCTCTCTTTGCTAAAGCTGATCCATTTTAAAAGCTCACATACCCGACATTCTTTTCCAGAAAACACAGACATAACCCAACCTTGAAACTTAACTGCTCATTGTTCCATGATGTCAGCATACGGCTCTGCCAGTGGTAGCCTGGGGGCCTCCGGTGGGAAGCCACTAAAGCTTTTGGCTTACCCAAGTATTCTTTTCTCATGAGCAGTTCTGTATCCTCTACTTTCTCCCCCACTTTGCTTCCTGGCTCATTTCAATCTCATCTTAGCCTTCAGATTTCGTTAATGGAGCCACAGTGTTCCAACACGATGCCCAGGATCACCTTACTTGCCTGCGTGGTCTGTGTATGTTCAAAACATGTGCGGCTGCTGCTGCTGTTGCTGCTGATGATGATAGAGGCACCTCTCTGTGCCGGGGACCTTACGCCCTTGATAACAGTCTTCACAGAAGTCCCAAGAGGTCGATATCTTCAGCCTATTCTACAGATGCACCTGAGACAAAGAGAGGTTAGGTCCACTGCCCAAGGTTGTATTGCTAGTAAGTGGAGCTGGGATTTGAACCCAGGCGTCTCTGGCGTTAAAGCCCAGGCTTTTTTCCTTCCCCTTCATTCTTGTGATTTGGCATTGGCTTTTATTCATGATAGCTCTCGGCCTCCCTCTGGTAAATGAAAACTCCCATAAGTTGTGATCAAGAACACACATGTTGAGTGCTTCTGCCGTAGGACTTTGCATAGAGCGTAAGCTTAGCAAATCCTCATTGATGTATTTTGCCGCGATTATCGTCCTGTTTTCATTTTCTCATGTACACGCTTGGAGTGGTTGAATTCGTGGGTGTGCCGACAGTGACTTGTATGCCCAGAGTCACCTTTAATTATTACCAGAGCCACTGGGTGTCAGGGAGATGCTGGTCACCCTCACGCAAAGGGCTTGCCTGTATCAATACCCTTTCTGAGAGACCAGCAGGGCTTGTTAAATATACACTTGTCACATGCATCCTGCCTTGTCAGTGATCTCCACTGTAATTTAGTAATAGGAAACATTTACCTTTTGGCATTGACCAAGGGCCACTGTGTGCATTCGCTTATGCAGTCCTCCTGAAAATCCTGTAAGGGGTGTTCTTGTTCTCGCCACCGTCCTCCATCTCACGCTGTGGAATCTCAAGCATGCGGCTTGTGCGGGGCCACGCAGGCGATAAAAGGTGAAGCCAGAACTGGAACCCACAAAGCGGGCTTCAGAACCCGGCCTCTGCCTCCTGCGCTAGGCTGGGCTGAGGAGTGCGGCGGCAGGACTGCACCCGTGGCCCTCTCTGCCCCCAGCACTTTCTCACCTCGAATACAGCTCCTCCCCAGACAGGTCCCCTTTCCCGGCGGCCATGGTCGCGTAGTGGTAAAGGCTCCAGCTCTGGAACGCACACACCTGCCTTTCGCTCCCGCCTCCTCCATTAACTTTCCGCAAGACCCTCTGCAAGTCCCTCAGTTGTCCCGAGGCTCAGTTCTGCATCTGTAAAATGGGATGATAATCCCCATCTCACACAGCGGTTGCAAGCATTAATCAGGTCTCCTGTGGAGGGGGCCTGCCAGGGAACTGCAGAATATTGGTTTGCTTAGTCTGCTGCCACGAAATGTCACAGGCTGGGTGGTTTAAACAACAGAGGTTTATTTCCTCACAGTTTTGGAGGCTGAAAGTCCAAGATCAAAGGGTTAGCAGATTTGGTCTCTCGCTAGGCCTCTCGCCTTGGCTTAGAGACCGCTGTTTTCTTAACTGTGTTCACACGTGGTCGTCCCTCAGTCTGTGTGTTCTCTGTGTCCTAATCTCCTCTTATAAGCACACCAGTCATGTTAGATCAAGGCCCACCCATATGACCTCATTTTAACTTAATTACCTCTTAGAAGGTTCTATCTCCACATGCAGTCACATTCTAAGACATGGGAGCTGGGGCTTCAACCTATGAATTTGGAGAGAGGAGAGCACACTTCAGCCCATAACATGCAACATACACACCTTCCAGCCAATTCAGCCATATGATACTGAACAAAAAGGAGACAGGAAACATAAGATCTTAAATACCATGGGTGATTCCACCCATGGGTGTCTGTCCCAGAGGGAGAAGGAGAGGAGATAAAAGTTTCTTTTACCTTCATCAGCAGAGGTTCCCCTCTGTCTAAAGATGAGCTGAGTGTGGAATTGGAGCAGACACTGCCGGTGGCCTGTCCTGCAGCCCGACCCTCCTGCAGCCGCACACAGGTTCCTGAATATGACAGCCTCCCATCTCCTACACCCCCATTAGGGCACCACCCAGAGAGGCCAGGGGATTAATGCCCTGGGGGTGGTGGGAGGGAGCAGGGACTAGGAATCAGGAGATAAATGTCCCCACCCCCCAAGTTGGGATGAGTTCTGCATGGTCTCAAAGGGTCCTGGCAGATTAAGCCCCCGTGGCCCGAAACAATAACATACTCCTAATTGGCTGTCTTTTCCCACTTTCTCACTTGCACCTCCTGAAATCACCTCTCGGATTAATTACTTGTACCCAAGTCCATGTCTCCAGGACTGCTTTGGGGGATATCCAAGATTAGACCAGAACCTAGCCCCGTGTAAGATGTTTCTGACCCACAGTAAGGTCTCTATAGATGGTCCACTGCAGCCGTTGTCTGGGGATCTGCTGAGTGAAAAGTCCTTGCTTTCAGAATCCAGTCACATGTGGGTTCTCCCAGACTGTTCTAGTCCACTGGCCCTGAAACCATCCCTACTAAATGCTCTCCTCTGTCTTTCCCTCCAGGTGATCGAGAAGAACTTGAGTGGCTGGTGGTACATTCAGATCGAAGATAAGGAAGGGTGGGCCCCAGCCACCTTCATTGACAAGTATAAGAAGACAAGCAATGCCTCAAGACCCAACTTCCTGGCTCCCTTGCCCAACGAGGTGACCCAGCTCCGTCTGGGGGACGCAGCAGCAGCGGAGAACAACACGGGCAGTGAAGCCGTCGGCCCCTCCCGGCCCCTGCCCGACGCGCCACATGGTACCGCGGACTCCGGGATACCGTGGTCCAAAGACTGGAAGGGCGGCAAGGAGGTCCTGAGGAAGGCGTCTTCCGACATGTCCTCGTGCGCAGGCTACGAAGAGATCTCAAGCCCCGACCTGGAGGAGAAGCCCAGCCTCCCTCCCCGGAAAGAATCCATCGTCAAGTCGGAAGGGGAGCTGCAGGAGAGGGGGCGGCAGAGGATGGAACAGCTCCGGGGCTCCTCACCCAAGCCTCCGGGCATGATTTTGCCCATGATTCCAGCCAAACACACCCCCCCGTCCCGAGACAGCAGGAGACCAGAGCCCAAACCTGACAAAAGCAAGTTGTTCCAGCTGAAAAACGAGATGGGGCTGGAGTGTGGCCACAAGGTCTTGGCCAAGGAAGTGAAGAAGCCCAACCTCCGACCCATCTCCAGACCCAAAGCTGAGCCACCAGAGGAGAAGCCGGAAGTTGTTCCCCAGAATCCCTTCTTGAAGTCCAAACCTCAGGTTAGGCCCAAACCAACTCCTTCCCCCAGGACAGAGCCACCTCAGGGCGAAGACCAAGTAGACATCTGCAACCTCAGGAGCAAGCTGAGGCCTGCCAAGTCCCAAGAGAAACCCCTACTAGATGGAGAGAGCGGCCACCAGCCTGCTGGGGGCCAAGATGCAGCCTTCAGCCGGGGCTTCCTCCCAGGCGACGGGCCTGGCCGCACCCAGGACAGGACGGCCAAACAGGATGGGCTCAGCCCAAAGGAGATGTCCTGCAGAGCCCCTCCGAGGCCAGCCAAGACCGCAGATCCTGTGCCTAAGAGTGTGCCCGCCCCACTGCAGGAGGCTTCCCCGCAGAGACCCGTGGTCCTGCCCCGCAGACCACCGCCCCCCAAGAAAACCACCTCATCCTCCAGGCCCCTCCCAGAGGTCAGAGGACCACAACGGGAAGCCAACGAAGGCAAGACAGCTCCTGCCTCAGGCCGGGCCCTGCTGGTCCCTCCTAAAGCCAAACCTTTCCTTTCCAATTCCTCAGGTGGCCAAGACGACATGAGAGGCAAAGGTGGTCCGGTACCACGGATGGCGGGCAAGATGGGAGAAAACAGGGAGAAAGTAGCCGCAACCCCCTTCCCCAATGCGGATGGCCCGAAGGACTCTTTATATGTGGCTGTGGCCAACTTTGAAGGAGACGAAGATACCAGCAGCTTCCAGGAGGGGACGGTGTTCGAGGTCCGGGAAAAGAACAGCAGTGGCTGGTGGTTCTGCCAGGTCCTGAGCGGGGCCCCTTCCTGGGAAGGGTGGATTCCTTCCAACTATCTCAGAAAGAAGCCGTAGCCACCTCCTTCCCTGTGTGGCGGTCCCGTGCATCCCTGCTGGCTTTACCCACATATTTAATATGCCTCTTAATTTATCAACCTTCATGCAGCTTCAAAGGAAGGAAGGCTCTGGAGTACTGTGGTTTCTTCCCTCCCATCACAGCATTCCCTGGAGGCTCAGAGGGTCAGAGGCCACACCCCCTGCTTCCTCTCCAAGCCAGCATCCCTGCCTTAAGGCCGGTGGCATTGCCACCCTGTGTAGGCCACCTAGCAGCGGGACCGTGACTCTCCCGACGCCTCCAAGACCAGAACCCATGATCTGGAAACTGCAGAAAGGGTCTCTCATTGCTGGCACCCCACCCAGTACGTGATGGCTGGCCCCCAACTTCTCCGTGTTTCTAAAATCCCAGTGACTTTATTTACTCAGTTTCCAAAATGCCTGGTACCAGAAAGAACTCCATCCCCTGGAAGTTGGCTCCGTTGCCAATCCCAAGGAGATGTCCTCCTCGAGGCTCGGGGCCCGGGAGCCTCTCAGGTTTGACCAGATGCAGCTGTCCCAGGAGTGGACCTGAAGGTCTGCTGAGCCATTCTGCCTCCCATCTTCTGTCTTGGGACCCTGACTGATCCTGAGGGCATGGTCCCAGCCCCAGCACGCTTCACTTTCCCACAGCAGGGCTTTTTAAATAGGAATCCCCGCCCCACCATGGGGCATTTCACTTTGTCTCCATAGAGCAAGAATCGCAAAGTCGGTTTGAAAGGAGCTAATCACAATCCATGCCCCTTGTGAGTAGCTAGTAGGTGCCAGACTCTGTACTTGGCACTTTACATTCATGTTTTAACCCTCACATCAACCCTCTCTTGTAGTATACCTGTTTTACGGACAAAGAACCTCAGACTCAGTGTGCCCAGGGGCACACGAGCTGGGCAGAAGAAGAACGAGGACTTGAATCGAGCTAGTGTGACTTCGGTGCCGGTGCCCTTCCCCCCAGTAAGAGGCTAACCAGGCAGGGGAAAGGAAGAAGCTAACAGTGTCAGGAGCAGGTGGCCAAGGGCTTCCTCGTGCTGTGGGCACCAGTAGCTGCTCCCACACCCACCACGCCTGCAACCCATCACAGCTTGCACCGAAGGCTGCCCTACACCGTGGACAGCTACTCCTCGGCAACGCGGGGATGCCCAGGGCTCTGGCGGCTGCCACAGGGCCCTGTTTCCTCCTCCTGTGCTGCTGCCCGCTCTGGGGGATAAAGCTCGTGGAGCCAAGGGAGCTCAGATGGTCTCACATGCCAGCCTTGAGGGGCCCTGCTGGCTCAGGGGCCAGCAGCTGCATCTCCATAGGCAGACGCCTCCCGGCCCTCTCTGCTGCTGCTTCCTGCTCCTCTCTGGCATTCACAGAGCAATTTTTCTTTCTTTCTTTCTTTTTTTTTTTTTTTTTTTTTTGCATGCACTCTCCCTCCCTGTCATCTCACTTCCACCCATTCGGACAGCTATGCTTCACGGAGGCACAGCTACCCACCCTACCCTGCAGAAGAGGATCCAGCTCGGCGATCTCCAATTCAGTGATCGTCTGCTGTGATGCTTTGGGGACCACAGGGCCAGCTTTCCCAGGGACGCCCACTGTCCCCCTGCAGTGCCAAAGACTTCTGTGCAAACAGCCCCCTTCTGCTCTCCGCTGCCCGCGCTGCCACGTGGGCTCTGGATGCTTCTATGGGAGAAGGAGCGTCCTGAGTCACAGTAGCGTCTTTATTCCTTCCTTCAGTCGGTCCGTGGACCCTGGGCAGGGCCCCGGGGTGCTTCTGGCGGTGCCCACTTGCCCCCTGGCCCTCTGCCCAGAACCGTGGGGAAGGACAGTAGTCAGGGAAAGGGGGAGCCGGGAGAGGGCCACCCACATTTTTGACATCCCCTCATTTGGAAGGGAGCGAGCCCGTAGCATGCTTTTCAGAGTTTTTGACCCACTTTGGTTTAAACAGCTTTTATGAAGCTGTTATGCAGGATTTGACTACATTTCCAAAGACAGAACTCGGTCTCTTTTTTGCTGATTCACTTCTGCTTCCGTTGACCTTTCCAAGTATTTTGTGAGTGCCTACCACGTGCTAGGCACTGGGTACACCAGGATACGTGTGGCTCCAAGCCCGGCTCTAAGAGCTCTGGCTTTTGTTTGCTGATTCCACTGAAGGGGTTATCTTTGGCTCCGCTCCCTCCTCCCGAAGGTCCGCTGGGTGGGAACAGACTGGTTCCACCTCCCTGTGGGCAGAAGTGGTCCTGCAAATGAAAGAATTTGCTTTTTTGTTATTAGTATTATTCTGACGCGAACCGAAGGTACTGAAACCACATTCCTCTCTGTTCACCGTTCTTTGCTCAGGACACGTCTAGGGCCTGAGGACTCCTCTCTCGGGCCGGCTCCGTTTGCCACAGTGGTGGGCCCTTCCTCAGGCAACTGGAAGTAGGGGGTCTTGACGGCCCTGTGGCTCTCCCTAGCTGTCCTTGCTTGGGAACTTAGGTTTACAGCATTCAGCCCGGTGGCCACCATTCTGCGAGCAATTGGTGAAGCCTATGCAAAACTCCCCTGAGGTGATGCCCACAGAAAAATGCCCAAGACCACAGTTAAAACTCCCATGCCACGCTCAGGGCAGGTCACTGGTGCTTAAACTCCTTCCTTTAACTTAACCCTCACGACAGCCCGGTGAGGGCATAGGATCAGCCCTGAGCGGTGGAGAGAAAGTTGAGGTTCACAGGGTGAAGCCACGTGCCCAGTTTTCATTCAAGTTGTGATCGAGTGGAGACTCGCGTCCACGGGTGCTCTCTCCCCAGGTCCCGGGACTTTTCCTCTGCCAATGGCAATGAAATGTGCGTGAAGCGGGTCACCCTCGCTCATAATTTCGGTTTCTCCTCCCCTCACCTCGTGATCACACGTAGCAGTAGGCCACAGGCCAAAGGCAGGCGGAGGTGGGTTTTGTTTTCTTTTCTTTTCTCACCCCTGCTTCGTTCCTCGTGATGACTGTTTCAGCCTACGTCCTACAACCAAACCACAGCTTACAGTGCCACCAACTCTCTGGAAAATCTGAGTTGTAGGATCACCACTTGGCAGACTAGGCCTTTGCAAAAAATCTCTGCCATTTCGTGGGTTTATGTCACTGTCCCAGGCTGAGACGGGGGAGCTGGGCGCTCGCTTGGACCACTGTTAACGCCCTACCCCGCTGAAAATTGCTGGAGCCCACATGAGCTCCCATTAATCAATCATCTTAAGCCTCCACCACAAGGCCTTCCCATGTAACCAATCTCTTAGGCAAAGTCCTTGGCCTTAAGACATTTCTGAGCCCACCGAGGATCCCACTACCAGGCGAAACGTAGGAAAACAAACTTGCCTCGTGAAAGGGCAGGTGCCATATCTCCCCAGGATCTGGATGGTCCTTAGGCTGAGGGACGCACTGTGTAGTATTTTTACAGCCTCTATCAAGTACAAAGCACTGTGTGGGATCAAGAAGTCACTCCTGCCTTCAAGTAGCTGGTAATTCGACATCATCAGGAACAGGAACATCCGGGGCTTGGCTGCCATCCTTTCATTGTGCCCAAGTCTCTTAAGTGTTGGGTCAGGCTGCTCCCTGGGAGGTCTTGCCCTTCTCTTTGGACTGCGTCAGTGGGTATGGGACAGCCTGAGCCCTGCACTGCAGTCCTATCCCTCCCCCTTGGTTGTCCAAGCTTCTGCTGCAAACCAGCCACACCACACCATAGACCAAAGATTACCTAATGTCAAACTCTGTGGCCTGGAGGAGTGGGAAATTGGCTCACACTGAGGCCTGAGGGTGTAGGATGCCCTCTGTTCGCCTGGAGGAATTGCTCCTAACTTGGCTGAGGTTCTGACATTGAGACGGACCACAGTCGGGGTCCCAGACGGACCAGTCCCAGCACTGCAGAGCGAAAACCCAGAAGGCTCCGTGGTCCTCACCTGCTGAGGACCCTTTCCCACAGACTTGAACGTCCAGCTTCGTAGGGTAATGTCTGGTTTCTGGTGCTTCCCTGCCAAGCTGTCCACACCCTCATCACGCTTCAGCATTTCCCTCTTCCTTCCTGTCTGCATCCCTCCTCCAAATTAGGCCTCTCAGTGACTCGACTGCTGTTATCCTTGAAGAGGCCAAACCCAGTGCTACAGCCAGTAGCCTTCACTTCTAGGTCTTCTATAAACGTACAAAAGGAGGTGCCTCCACCAGGCTTGTTACAGCAATAAGCAATTCTAACACAGCTGAGGTGTCCGTATTTTATCCCAGTGCGTGCCTGTCTATGCCTTTGTGCCCATGTAGCTGTCAATAGTGCCCCTTTCACTCGTCCAGGGGAGATGATAAACTATGGTCACCTTAGCGATCCCCGCATTTCTTGCTTCCGAGCGCCACCAACAACTAGGCCATCTCTCACATCCCTCCAGGAACAGGGGAGCTCTGACCACCCTGCCCCACCGCCTCCTGTCTGCTCACGGAGTGACACTGGAGATCCCTGAATGTCACAGCACTCCTCCTACCCTCTTGGCAAACTGACGAATTCTGGTGGTGGTTTTTGTTTCCTTTTAACACACAC